TATGGAGAACTTTACTGTTTAATGGATTTATTTTATTTTTTTTTTCCATTTATTTTTATTAGTTGGAGGCTAATTACTTTACAACATTGCAGTGGTTTTTGTCATACATTGAAATGAATTAGCCATGGATTTACATGTATTCCCCATCCCGGTCCCCCCTCCCACCTCCCTCTCCACCCGATCCCTCTGGGTCTTCCCAGTGCACCAGGCCCGAGCACTTGTCTCATGCACCCAACCTGGGCTGGTGATCTGTTTCACCCTAGATAATATACATGTTTCAATGCTGTTCTCTTGAAACATCCCACCCTCGCCTTCTCCCAGAGTCCACAAGTCTGTTCTATACATCTGAGTCTCTTTTTCTGTTTTGCATATAGGGTTATCGTTACCATCTTTCTAAATTCCATATATATGTGTTAGTATACTGTAATGGTCTTTATCTTTCTGGCTTACTTCACTCTGTATAATGGGCTCCAGTTTCATCCATCTCATTAGAACTGATTCAAATGAATTCTTTTTAATGGCTGAGTAATATTCCATGGTGTATATGTACCACAGCTTCCTCATCCTGTTTAATGGATTTATTTTTAAAAATGGAACTTAAACAGCATTTAAACAGCCAGAGACATTCTTTTTAAAATAAGAATAAAAATAAATAAATAAAAAATAAAATAAGAATAAATTTCAACTGCTAGCTAAAAACAATTAAAAAAATCAAAATTGGTCATTTTGCATCAATAATAAAAGTTTGCCAAACCAATAATTCCTAGGTATTGTTAAATTATATAGATTAGGGACCCACTGTGCTGGCAAATAATGTTCACATGTTAGTCAACAGTATCTGAAACACAACTGTACATATTTTATTATTTGTTAAATAGGTCTTAAATAATATATTAAAACTGTTTCCAAAGAAAATAAATTCTATTCTAATTGCTTCCATCTCTAAATTTAAGCAGGCAGTTTATAAAATCATCTCCAACAGCAATAAAAGTATTTTCCTTTTCTAGTTCCTCTTATCAGCATCTAAGATGAAATAAGTGCAGTATGAAGGTAGCATCCTCTCAGCCAACTTCCTTCACTGTTTATTATTAATTTTCGAGTATTTTCCCCTCTGGCCCATATGGTACACCCACATGGACATTTCTAATCTTAACCCAAATAATTTCCCTCCTAGTCAAGAAATAACAAAAAGCAAGGGAAAGTATATAATGACTATCTAGAACCTACTTTACAGCTTATTTAAGGAAAAAATACTTCACTATTTTTACACAATATGAAATACCAGATCTCATTTAAAATCCTCATAGGACTGAATATTTTTAAAAACTGGATTCCCTGGGTAGGGGGAAGCGGAAAGAAAGAATAGAAAAGAAACCTCTACAACTGCATAGAAGAATTGACAAGAAATTGAGAGCAATCCTCAGAGGCTGAGACAGCGACAAGAAGCAGAATCCAAGAGGGAACAAAATGCTGATATCAGTATCTGTCATGGGAACATTTGCTGATCCCTACAGATCCATAGCTTCATGCTTACCAGGCTGTGTGACTAAAGAACAGGGATAAATGTAGGGACCACATCAAGTGGGAAGTTGGATCAGAGACTCTCATAAAAACTAAAATCCCCTAGAGCTAACAGCTTAGTGAAAGAATAAACTGGAATTTTTTAAATATACCACATAAGGAGGAAATATTAATAAAGATATGTGCCTATTTCTTTTCCATTAGCTTACCCACTAGAGATGAGGAGGAATGATCACTTCTCCTGAAAATTGTTAACCAGAAGTTTACTCTCAATTGGATTGGAGCTGAAATCATATTACTTGCTTCCACAGATCCACACTAACCTTAGTCAATAGTTGAAAGTGATCATGAATTATTAGTACAGTTTGGCACCAAGCAGAGGTAACTCAAGTGTTCTGGGAAAATAAAGAAAAATTTTAAAAAACACCTTAAAACCAAAACCTGAAAGAATTTCCACAGATGAACTCCCAAGGAACATGAATTCTCAATCAAGACAAACAAACAAAAGAGCAACCAAAAAAAAAAAAAAAACCACATATGATGAATCAACTCACTATGAGTAAAAATCAGTAGAATAACAATATGATCAAATCCACTTAGACAGCAGATTTTAGAATATTCAGATAGAAACACTTAAGGAAGTGTTTCCTCTAGTTAACGGTTTGAGATGATATGGGGCATGTATTTAGAAGACATTTAAGAAAAAAAAATTTTTTAACTGCTACAATAAAAAAGACAGATCTACAGCTAAAAATATAAAGAAGAACCACAATGAGATAGGTAGGAGGGATGGAGCATGGTATACTCAAGACCCATACCCACCCGGTAGGCAACAGACAAACAGGAGGATATTCACGATTGCAGAGGTTCTCTCCAAAGAGAGAGGGGTCCAAGTTTCACATCAGGCTCCCCAGATAGGAGTCCTGCACTGGGAAGATGAGCCCCCTGGTTGTTTGGCTTTCAAGACTAGCATTGCTTACTTTCAGAAGACCTGGGGGGCTATGGGAAATAGACAAATCTTCACACACTTTGGGATCCAGGGCAGAGGCAAGAATTTGAAAGCAGCCTGGGTCAGATGCACCTCTGACCACCAGAGTCAGAGTCAGAGCCACCCAGAGAAGGAGGAGACAATGGAAGCTCATTCCATGGACACAGACACTAGCAGTGGCTGGAGGGAGCTTATTCTATGATAAGGTCACTGGTGCTGGCAAGTGTCATTTTGGAATGTCATTTTATTAGCTCCAGAACTGGCCCCATCCATCAGGAAAAAGTAGTAAAAATCATCTTTCTGCAATAAGTAGTTAAGGGATACACAAAACAGAACAATGTAAAATATGATATCAAAAATAGTAAAAATAGGCAGTGGATAAAAATGCAGGATTATTAAAATACACCATGCTTATTTAATTTATATGCAGAGTACACCATGCAAAATGCCAGGCTAGATGAAGCACAAGCTGGAATGAAGATTTCCAGGAGAAATGTCAATAACTTCAGATATGTAGATGACACCACCCTAATGGTAGAAAGCTAAGAGAAACTATAGAGCTTTGTGGTGAAGGTGAAAGAGGAGAATGAAAAAGCTGGCTTAAAACTCAACATTCAAAAAACAAAGATCATGGCATCCAGTCCCATCACTTCATGGCAAATAGAAGGGGAAACAATGGAAACAGTTAGAGACTTTACTTTCTTTGGCTCCAAAATCACTGCAGATGGTGACCACAACCATGAAATTAAAAGACACTTGCTCCTTGGAAGAAAAGCTATGACAACAATCTAGAGCATATTACAAAGCAGAGACATCAATTTGCCAACAAAGGTCTGTATAGTCAAAGTTATGGTTTTTCTAGTAGTCATGTACAGATGTGAGAGTTGGACCAAAAAGAAGGCTGAGGACTGAAGAACTGATGCTTTTGAACTGTGGTACTGGAGAAGATCCTTGAAAGCCCCTTGGACAGCAAGGAAATCAAACTAGTCAATCCTAAAGGAAATCAGTCCTGAATATTTACTGGAAGGACTGATGCTGAAACTGAAGCTCCAATATTTTGGCCACCTGACATGAAAAGCTGACTCATTGGAAAAGTCCCTGATGCCAGGAAAGATTAAGGGCAGGAGGAGAAGGGGGTGACAGAGGATAAGATATTTGGATGGCATCAC